AATTTGCAACAATGTTATGCTTCATGGGTATATTAGAGGTTTTTGGGTGTCTCTTGATCTGATCCGAGAAATGAAAGTTGATGAAAGCTTGATCAACGCTATTTCACCAATGATTTTGGATTGGTCACAAAAAAAAAACTAGAAATGAATTGCTTTATACCCAAGAGATCAAGCTGTCAAAGTTGAATGATCCTGGTGTTGGTAGTGGTCTTGGTGACTAACTGATTGGTTTGTTTTTATCCAGTCGCCTACAGGTATGTTGTGAATGAGTTAATGACGAGGATAAAAATTGCGGTTTACAATTCATTGAGAAAATCTGATCCTGACAGACTTTGAATTTCTTTTCCTCCTCCACCTACGATTGTTTTTTACGTTAACCATTTTTTGTTGGTGTAGTTTTATGTTGGTGTTTTTACACACGTAAATACTGTTTATTCATTCATAAAATTGTAGTGCCGGACCACAACTTCCGGTGAAACCAGTAATAAGATGCTGTAAAAGAAGAGAGAAGAATATGAATGAATGAGTTTAAGATGTAAAATGAAAACTTGTTAGTGATGGTTATATTTTTACTCTACTCACAATTAACTTGAATGAAGACTTGAAGTAATAATAGATGAGGATTTAACCTTAGTTTACTCGTTTTTAGCCAAATATAACACTAAAAATGCACTCCAAATTGTTTGTTGTTATAATCTGAAATGAGAAGATGAAGAAGAGAAAAATTCTGCTGAAAATTGATAAACTTGAGCTTTTTTGCACCAAGTTTTTTACCTTTACTCTATTCAATGTAGGTTAACTAATACGGTAATTGTTATTTAAGGCCTACATGGAAATGAGTTAAAAGATATCAATCAATTTTGATGGTATAATGAGTACTTGTTGAGGTCTTTTTAAGGTCATCAACATCAAACCTCATCTTCTTTTCAACTTTCATTCTGTGCTCGTCACTGGAAGCTCATTCATCAATCCACCATTTAGAATGTCTCAGTTAATTTTATGCTGTAATCTTATCCAGTTTCCTTGTAAAAAAAGTTAGCTCTGAATGGAGAATCAGAAAAGGATAAAATTAATGTTCATGTTTTGTTATGAAAACTGGGCAAGTTAGCCACTTACAGTTACAGGTAAATACGCATTGATTAATTCATCGACTTCCAGAATGTTTGCTTTCATCTTATTGTTGTTCCTGTGTCGGTTTTGTTGGTAATTACTGATGTATTTTTTTGTTTTGGTTTGGCGATGTTAATGGAAAGTAGCAAATTGATAAACACTTGAGGGGCAAAGAAAATTTGCTTGAAATTGGCTCTTTGGAGATAACCGTAATCAGCATTGAAGGCATTGTTATTATCATGACGATTATGATGATAATGTTGATGATCTACTATGATTAAATTTCAGTTCATAAATATGATTCAGCCTTGGTTGATAATCAGAGTCAATAATTGATATTAAAGGCCATCAAACCATCAATTTATTTTTGTTTACATTTTCTGTTTTCTTTCTCTCTTTTTATTCAGAGCATCCAGTGAATGATTTTCATGATGATGTCGTCATCTGCCCTTGATGAATTGTTTAATGATCAACACTTCCGTTAACTGAAAGAGAATCAAGAAAAAAAGGATTAGACGATTTAATTGAATTTTTGTGTTTGCTTTCATTGACAATTAACCAGAAAACCAGAAAAAAAAGTGAAAGCTTTAAAATTGAACAATTGATATCACATTTATAATTAGAGTGATCGTGATTACTATTAGCAGGTTCATCACTGGAAATGACGATTAAAAGAAAGCTGATTGAGAGATGATTGATGATAATTGTAAAGAAGCCGAAGAGATGATGATGTTGGTGATGTTGGTGATAGAGGAGGAGGAAAGAGCAAGAAGCGCAAACCGAGGAGAGAGCAAAAAAAAGTAAACTCAGTAAACAGTTAAAGTTGATTCAAGTTGATGATATCTGTTAGTGGGTAATTAGATTAGTAAAAATTGGAGAAGAAAAAAGCAAAAGGATAAACAAAGAACAAGATTAGGTACTTTGTTCCCTCAAAGGTAGCCCCCAGACCCGAGTTAAATAAAAATGCGAACATGTTGCCATCTAGATTAAAACTATATCATGACGCGGTTTTTTTGTAAATAATTATAATATTAATCATAATGATGTCTAATCAATTTGAATAATAAATCTAGCTATTGATACTGTTGGATTCTTTTCCTTTCAGATTTAATTTCCAATCTAGTACTTCCGGGTAGAGGAGGTGGATCCACATGTTCTCTGGGTAACCAGCTCTACTTTCTATACATTCTATAATATAAGGCATTATATAATGTATAATTTTAGATTTAAATATACATTCTATAATGCCTTATATTATAGAATGTATGATATCATTACTACTAGAATGTATGATAATATAAATGTAAATAAACTAAATAAAGATATTATACAAATAATAATTATTGTTCAATTAATTTATTAATTGAATCCAACATATTGTGCATATGAGCAATTGGATTTATGGGGGTTACAGATATAATATTAGATTTAATCTCAGGATTAAAATTCTCAAGCGTACACCTTATACGGAATTGATACTTTTTAAATAATATTGTTTCAACAATTGAATCAATCTTTGATTCTTCATTAGATGTAGCAGATATAATCTCATTAATACTCATGCCGATAAGCTTTTCAGCTTCTTCAGTAAATGCAGAAACCCATACAGATTTAGTTGAATCTGCGATACATAGTTTGATGATAATCCGATCTTCACCTTTTATAATTTTTTTGTTGCATTTCCCGCATCTGTAATAACCATCCTCTAGTTCGATTAACTTTTTTTTACAAGACCCTAAACAAGACATATAAGAAACTGTTTTCCCAATTTGTATAACTGTTGCAATACAATTAAGAATTAACATCGAATTTGCACTGATCGCAACATTCGATCTTGTAATTGCATCCAAATTGTGTAGTGTGGTATCACTATTCCGACCAAACGCCGTTGTTAAACTTTCACTTTTGAGTTGTCGACCCGCAGTAACAAACCATTTAGTAAGTTCATCAGCTTCAGAATTTTTTGGATCAACATCTACAACAGTTGAAGCAATTGTTGTCAAACTTCTACCTCCATAATTAGATAAACGAGCCTTTTTAACAATGACAATAGAACCAGTTTCACCATTAAAATTTTCAGCATCTTTGTTCCATAAAGTAAAATTAATTTCCATTTTGGAATCGTCAACCAAAGAAATATCTCGTTTTTTTAAATCTTTCCCAAATTTTGTTGAACTAACAGTTGCCAAATTACCAGCATTTTTACATACACCAATAACATCAACCACAGATTCTAAATCCATATTCTGCAGATTACTAATCTTAACAAAATCAAATTGAATTTTAGGACATCCAGTATCATTGTTGTTATCCAATTTAATTATACTGCCAGGATGTAAGACTAATTCAAAGTCATGCTTGGTATCAGAATATTTCTTGTTGCTTTCTTTAACATTACAATTTCCAACAAAATAAATCTTTCCGAAATGTACAATATCAAAATATTTGTCACAATCTCCACGAAATGCTGTTATTTTTATGTCGCAAGATTCATCAGTCAGATTAAATGTGAATAATTTGCCAGATCCATTACTATTATTCCAAGTTCTAATAGTACTTTTATGTGTTACTCTACCACGTATAGTCCAATTCTTTATATACTGATTAATTGAAGAAATGGGAACAGTAATCTGGCCTGTGTTCCTGCGTTCTTGTGTATCATCTAACCCATGTGTAGAAATACCAGCCTCTAATAAATCCAGCGCACTAATATTTGATTTTTTGCCATATTGCAATGAAACTGGACCGCCAATAAT